AAGATAAGATAAGTGACAAGGTTTTTAATGGGGCATCCAGAGGATTTCTCTGTTAAATATGCTCCTCACTACCAACAAGCTGTTGCAAAGGGGTGGATTCATTCTCAAGGGTTTCTTTGATCACGACACCCTAATGGCGATCTAGCCTTTCCACTCGATGCCATGAAGCAAAGGCTGCTGGCGAATGCTCTGCATGTGGTGCTACAGTCACACAGCTCCAATCACTTTCAAACTGGGAGGCAGGGAAAACGGAGACGCAAAACAGCAACACATGGAGAACAACACTTGAGTGGATTTCCTAGTAAATGTGCTCTCTGGCCTGCCTCTCTCTCTCCCACCTTCCAAAGATTTCACCAATTAATATTTAACCCAAAAGGCCAAAACTTATTTATACAGAAGGGTAGCCTTGAACAAAGCAGATGGGGGGGGAGGAGAATCTTTACTCAACAAAGTTAAGAGACTATCCAGAATCCTGTGCTATAAACAGCCCCTGCAGATTTCCTAGCATCAGAGGAAGTCATGTTACATAGTCCTGTTATAAGAAAGTGCAACAAACTTAATTGCAGAACCAGGACTCCCAGTGGGGAGGAGCAATGACTTGTGAACACAGCGCTCCAGCGGATCCCAGACAGCATATACCCTCTTGGACAAGCCCCTGAGTCGCTTTAAGCCTCAGACTGTACTAGATACACTGAAGGGGGAGAGTATTCTCACGGGCCATCTCGGCCGCATGGAAATTCGTGGCCTTCAAGCGGAGGCCAGGGCACTGCCCCAGGGAGCTGGGATTTGTTCCGCTCTTGGGGAGGGGGAAACTCTCCTGTCACTGGCTGGGCTTTTTCAAAAGGCTGGAGGGGGGGGGGGGTGTAAAAAATTGTTTTTGCGCCGCCCCCCAGCTTGGGACCGTCCCGGTTTCAGGTGCAAATGGAAACCGCCCTGCAAGCAGGGAGCCCAGACACTTTGCGAGGCGAGGACTCTGCGGGAAGAGTTGAGCCGCCCTATGTAAACAAGGCGCATCTGGGGCGGCAAGGAAGCAGGCAGGGGAAGGCGCTGCTCTCCCCCCACCCCCGCTAGCCTAGGGGCCGCGCCCGGGAGCGTCCAGTCCCCAGCACCACCCGGCCGCCGGACGAGCAGGCTGCAGGCAGAGCGCTGCCTTTGTTCTCCCTGCTGCTGTTTCAGGTGCGCCGCGCTCCCCCTCCCCGCGTCCTGCTGTGACCATTGGGCGCTGCTGCCGGGCGGGCAGAGCCCCCCAGCCCCTCCCTTTACC